CCCCAAAACCCCAAAACCCCAAAACCCCATTTTCCATGATTCAGCATAATTTAAGTGCTATAAATTAATCTAAATCATAAATTAGTCTTTTATTAATCTTCTTTCTGATTCTCAGACTTCGCACTCTAACTAAGGTATTACTATTCAGGGTATTCAGCAAAGTAAAATGGTTATCCAGACATCCAAAGACTCTGTAAATGGTAAAACTAAAAGGCGATTCTGTTAAATCTTTCCTAAGGAAGAATAAAGGCAGTCATTGAAAAGCCAATAAGGTAGGGAAAAAGAACATTTTTAAGTGACATTTTATCAATTAAATTTATATGATTATTATAATAAACAAACTATCATTTTCTTTCATAAACTTGTTTTTATGTTTTATAGCCTAGTGTGAAGTGTGAATATTTTAATACCGATATTTATAAGCAACTTAATTTAAGATTTCATCTTTTATTAGAATTATACCTTTTTAATATATCCTCTTAGGAGGATTAAATCTTTTCTCGATTAGTTTGATTTTAAAGGTTAATGTGCTTGAGGTTATTAACATTAAAGACACTACTTTGCGGAATACTAAGCATTTAACTATTTTCCTCCGTTTCTTAATCCATAATGTCACCAGACTTAGAATCATCTGTGTTCAGCCTTTATTTTTAGAAATCTTCGTTTTTTATTTTCTCAAAATTCTCATTAATAACATTTATTTCACGGTTATTTAGGTTTTGATTTTATAGAGTTGTAGGAATTTATAGGTTTTTGTTTTTATTATGCAAGGAAATCTGCTACTCAGATTGCATTTATTAATATTATCTTTTTGGATCATTTTCTAAATTGGAGTTTTATTCACTCATCGATGCCTAATTGACTAATTGAAGCTATAGCTGCTTTGAGGAGCCTCTTTTTTTCTTTTTTGTTTAACTTCTTTTTGAATTCAAAGCCCCAGTATTTATTTTCTTTAGAGGACTTAATGAGAAATTTGAAGGTCTTTTCTTTTTTTTAGCAACATGTGGCATTAATTGCTCGTTTTATGCCAAAAATTACTCATTATGCTTCTAAGACTAGTGATTTATAATCTTTTTATTCATTTAAACAAGTGGTTGATTCTTTTCATTAAAATCAATTTGAACTGAATCCATTTACACAGTATTTCTATTTTCGATTGGTAAGTTAACCTATTAGGTAATTTCTTACTGAAACCATTCTAATATTCCCCTATAGTTATTTCTCTCCCTAATTGAGAGTAACTATTTTCTTATATATCAATAATCTGGTTTTATTTTATGAGAGACTGTTTATATGTAGGTTAGCATTGCATTGAATTCAGGATCTAAATCTGTGCATAAAGTGTCTGGGTCTCGGCATGATATTACATGTTAAACTTCAAGTTAAGCCTGGATCTCTTCCCCTAATACTTAAACATTCCTAGCCCAGGGCAAGTACCCTTGGCAAAAATAAATCAGAATGTAAATCAAAGATTCGATATCATCCCGAGCCCCTAATTTACCTTTTAATAGCTAGTTATTTGAAGCAAAATAGGGTGTCCCTTTAAAGCTATAATTAGCTTTTATAGGTGTATTAAGATTCATTGATAGGCCAAAATCAATTAGGATTACTGTATTTTGTCTATAATGAGCCATCATATTTTAAGGTTTAAGATCGTTATGAAGTAACCCACAGCTGTGCATTATTTCCAGCCTCTCTAGGACTTAAAGGCCAATCGTAATAACAGTCTCCATTTTGAATTTTCTCTTATATTGAACGAATAGTCGCTCCAAATCCAAATCATACTTTGGCATGATAATATAGTTGAGCTTCTTATCAGATAAATATCCATTTACTAATAATTTCGGGAATAAATTTGCTATATATTTAATTAAGAAATGCTAATTATATTGAAATAATAAGTACCTCTTAAGCCAGCCATTCTTTTTATTGCTTTCATAACTTCGACTTCATTTTCGTATTGTCTTTTAGCCTCTATGTTCTTATCATCGCTCTAATTAATAATTTTCCCATCATAAAATCTTACAAATTTAATAGCAACCTCATATTCTTTAACTATATGTTTGCCAAAAAATACCTCACCGAACGCTCCTCCTTTGCAAAAGTTTAATACGAGGTACTTTTCTTTAATCATATAATCAGCCTATTGATTTAATTTTGTACTAGACTGTATTTATAATGAATCTTATCATTTGATCATTGGTTCTTAAGTAGATCTTTTTTTGTTAATGCTAATGTTCTTCGTCTCTTCATTAGATTATTACTAATTATACTAGAAACTATTTCTATGATTATCTTGAGCCTTTGAAGTCATTAATATTTTTTAAATTGACAATTTTATTTAACTAATTTTCTTAGATTATCAATGATTTTCAATGATGGGGTTTTGGGGTTTTGGGGTTTTGGGGTTTTGGGG